GGGGGGGGGGTGAATTGGGGGGGGGGGAGCATCTCGGTGGTTCCCCCCTCCTCTTCCTCACAGGACGAAGCAAAGAAAACCCTGAGTTGCCAGTTCGTCCGTTCGTCCTGCTCGGGCAAGGCCAGTGGCTCCGCAGCGGCTGCCCTCCCTGCCGGAGCCTCTGTGCCCCGGCCACTGCTGCCTGCCCGGCCACCCTGGCACCTCCCGCGGCCCCGGCGGGTCTTGGCGAGGTCTCCTAGGCGGGGGCTGTGGCCCCCAGCCCCTTTTCCCAGTTAGTTCATCCACTTTCGGCAGTTCCAGGCTCCACAATGGCAGGGGATCTTGTGCTGATCGTCCTCAAAGTCAAACTGGTAGTCGTAGGTGAGCTGGAGGAAAATGGGAGAGTCACTCATGGCACCGAGCCTGGCACTGCCACCCCCAGACCCCCACCGGTCCCCCCACGCCCCTGGCTGACCTCCTCCCCCTTGGGGATGCGCCGGCTGGAGATGATGATGATCTTGTCCTCCTTGTCAAAGGTCACGACTTCAGCCACACAGTTCGGGGCACACGAGTGGTTGATGTACCTGGGGGCAGGGGGCAGGGGTCAGCGCCAACCTGGGAGGCAGGACAGTCACTGCTCCCACTGGGGGAGGGGGTCCCACCACACCAAAGCCCTCCGTGCTCACCTGGCCGGGCCCCCCGTCAGCGTGGCGTCAATGACGTGCTCATTGTTGATGCGGAACATGTAGATGCCGCGATTCTGTCAGGGGAGAAGAGGGTGTCACCGAGCCCCCCATATCCCCACTGAGTCCCTCAATGTCCCACTAGAACACCCCCGTGGCCACCAGAGACTCACCTGCTCCTCGTAGATCTTCTCCCGACGGTTGGCCACCTCGTTGCGGATGATGGTACCGATGTACTCAATGACCATGGTGTGCTTCTCGATGTCCTTGGCCGCGTAAAGCCCCAGCCCCTGGATGCGGGACCGTGCCAGGTAGACGTTGTTCTTCCACTCCGTCTTCAGGCGCCGGTACTGGGAGGACTTGGAGTGCACGAACTGTTTGCTGTAGGGCGTGTTGGTCTCGCCTGTGAAGGTGCTCTGGTAGGCCTTGGACATGCTTGTGCTGTTCAGGGTGTGGGGCCTGATGGGGTATAGCAAGAGGGGGGGGTCAGTGTTGAGGGATCCCCAGGGGATCCCAGCTCTGCTGGTGGATCCCAGACCTGCTTACCGCTTGTAGTGGGTGAGGATCTTGGGCTCGGAGCGGGCGCAGCCGGTGGGGTTGATCATCAGCGGCAGCTCCATCAGCGGATGGCGCCCGTAGCGGAACAGGTAGTTCTGGCAGCTCTCGACGCCGGGCAGCTACCGAGGAGGGAGCAGAGGGGCCACAGGTCGAGCAGCAGCACCACGGCCACCACAGCCCAGCCAGCGTGGCCACCAGCCCCATTCCCAGTGGGGCTGACCCCCGGTGTGGAGAGGAGACCCCACCTCCCCGGGACCTACCGACTCGGCGATGCGCAGCACCGCGTGCACCGTGAGGCCAAACAGCTCCTCGCCCTTCAGGTACTCGGGGAAGAGTCGCAGCATGTCGGCTTCCTTCCTCATCATCGCCACCGGCTCGATGATGCGGTTCCAGACGGCTGCCGAGGGAAGGGAGGGTTGGAGCTGGGGACCCGCAACAGGCTGCCCGCTGGTGCAGACCCCCACTCAAGCCACCCCAGGACCTCCCATTGCCCTGTCCTCCCCATCAGCAGGACGAGGAGTGGAGGAAGGCAGCAGGGCCGGCACCTACGGCTCCCTTACCCTGTGGCGAGGAGTCAGAGAAGACCAGATCCTCCAGGCCCTGCTCGATGACTTGCACGACGAACTCAGGGCGGCCGTTGTTCTCGCAGATGGTGCAGCGGTAGCAGCAGCGGCGGTTGTTGGTCCGCAGGCTCCAGTAGATGCGCGTGGCCTCGTAGCCCACGGGGTAAAGGGCTGTGACGCTGTGGAAGTCAGCCATCTGGTGTGGCAGGAGCTGCCCGATGGCGTGGAAGACCAACCCACCCACGCGGAACATGTGGAGCCGCTCGCCACGCTGGATGATGCTGGCGATCTGCTTCACCTCGTCCCGCTCGATGTAGACGCGCCGGAAGACGGTGAAGCTGCTCAGCTCCTGCTCGCAGGGGCCCTTCAGCTTGTGCAAGGGGCAGAGCATGGTCTTGTCCTTGAAGAACATGCACTTGGCGCGGATGGCGCAGGCAAAGTGGTAGACACTGGGGCAGCGGATGCGGTTGCAGCTGTTGGTGGCCCCAGTTTTCTGGCACAGGGAGCACTTGGTGAGCAGCCCACGGTGCAGAGCCACCTCCACATTGATCAGGGCCCCACCCTGCGTCTCGTAGACCTCCGTGGACCATAGGGCACAGTTCAGGTGGACCCAGAGGTCAAGGTCAAGGTTGAGCAGGCGGGCCGGCCCGTCCGTGGCCCCATCACCTTCCTCATGACAGAAACAGCACTTGCGCAGGTCCCGCGGTACCTTTTCGGGGCGCAGAGTGGTGCCCAGCTTGTCAATGAACTCTGCAATCTCCTTGTCACCGTCCCGCTTGGCCCCTCCTTTCTGGATGGTAACGAGGAAGCGCAGCCGTTTCCACCGCACCCCCTTCCACTTCTTCAGCCGAGGCCGTGCTTCGTCCCCGTCCTCCGGTGGCCGCGAGCGCGGCTTGAAGCGGGGCGGCGAATAGGGGGCTGCAGCCCCTTCCTCCTGGGGGGCTGGCGAGGGGGCTGGTGGCAGGGGTGACGGAGGGGCTGGGGCTGTCTCATGAGCTGCCTCAGGGTCAGGGACCCTGGCAGCCTCGGTGGGACTGGATGGGGAGGGGGCAGAGGGGGACAGGGGCGGGGAGGGCTCCTGGGGCATGACGGAGAGTTGCCGCACATCCAAGTTGGACACGTTGTTGACGTAGCAGTGGTGGAGGGTCTTCTCTGGCACAGGGCTCTCCTGTGGCATGGGGAAGGGGGCACGAGTCAGAGCGTCGCAGGGATGGGGATCCCCAGTCTCCCTGTGCATCATGGTGAGGGCTCCTTGACCCTGCAGAGACCCCACAGCCTCGCAAGGACCTCCCCAACCCCTTCCCCACTGTCCTGGGAGACTCAGCCCCCCTCCACAGGGGAACCCGGCCGCTCAGGGACCCCCCTGCACCACACTGCAGTCATGGGGGACCTGCAGGTGGGGACCCCACACCTCTCGACATGGTCACAATTGGTCCCAAAGGGCCCCCTCCTGCACCCCTACATTGCCACAACCTTACAGGTGCTCTCCTACCCCTCTCTCAGGGTCACAGCCCTGGGGGGACCCCGCACCCCGCTGACCTGTCTGAGCAGCGTCAGGAGGTCCAGCTCGCCCTTGAGGCTGTACCCCGGCAGCACCGCATCAAACTGCTTCAGCCACTCGGAGCTGCTGTCTGGCACCTTCCCAGCCAGCACCACCTTCTCCTTGCCACCGAGTACCCCTGCGAGAGAGAGAGAGAGAGAGGCCATCACAGGGTGCCCTGCCTGGGGACACAGGGGAGCCCGCAGGGATGAGGCAAACACTCACCAGCCATGTCGGTCTCCACCTTCTTGGCCTCAACCACAGCTGCTCGCATGGGGCCGTCTGGGAACAGCACCTCGTAGGAGCTTGGGATCTTCATGCTCAGCAGCTCAGCCATGGCCACCATCACGCCGTTGAGGTTCTGGGCGAGAAGACGACAGGATGGGTCCAAGGTCACAGATGCCACTACATGGGGTCACTGCTGAGACCCCAGGAGTCACCTCCCCTGTCCCCTCGCTCACCTTGGCGGCCGCTGCAGACACAGTCAGCATGACTGAGACCTCGCTGCTCTTGCCCTTCTCCCATGGGGCACCCGGGCCTGCTGCCCCCACCTTCCCGGGGGGAGCCCCAAAGGGCTCCACAGCTTCGTAGGGCTTCGTGTCGGGGAACACTGGCGTAGGGAGAAGGGGGTCAGAGCTGCACAGGCCTGGCTCCACCAACAGCCAGCCATAAACCCACCCAGCCACCCCCGATCCCTGCAGAAACGTTACTGGGAATCCATCGCCTCATGTGGGAGAGAGACTGGTGTGTGGTTACGGGGACACAGCACTGATGGGAAACCCTTGGGGAGTGGCTGGGGGACCCTTGCGTACAGCCCGACACAAAGGCCACGCTCAAGGCTCTGATGCTTATGTGTAATACACCCCACAGACCCCTTCCCCTCAGCCCCCAGTCCCTAAGGACCCTTCTCCTGCCCCACACACCCCTACCAGTCCACACATCCAGGGACTCCCTCCTGCCCTGTCCATATACTGCACAGACCCCTTCCCACCTGATTTTTGTGCCCTGTGGACCTCCTCCCTTCCCTACCATACCCTTGCCTAGTCTCTACACCCTACAGAACTTCTCCTGCCAGGTCCATATGTCCCATAGACCCTCCCCCGCCCCGACCTGGGTTAACACACACTGCAGACCCCTCCTGCCCTGGTCCATATGCTCCCCCAGCACAGCTCAGCCCACCTGGGATACTGGCCCGGGGGATGATGGGGATGATGGGGGACAGCACACGCTCCTCCAGCTCCGGCTTGGCCTCGCTGAGAAGGGGAAAGCGGAGCAGCTCCTCGCCCAGCACACTCTCAGGGGATGAGGCAGGGACGATGCTGTCGGGGGAGTCGCTCTCATCATCGCTCTCCATCCTGTGGGGAAGGAAGTGTGATGGGCCATGGGGGCCAGCGTGGGCCATGGGGGGGGTCACGGCCACCAGTGGCTCACCTGACGTCCTCAGTCTGGTTGTGCGGAGGGGTGGGCAGAGCTGCCAGCAGGTCCAGGCTCTTCACCTCCACAGCCGGTGTGTCTGTATGGGGACGAGACAGCTGTCAGGGGAGGTGACAGGTGGCAGCAGGGACTCTGTACCACCCTTCATGGAATCACAGAATTGTCAGAGTTGGAAGGGACCTCCAGAGATCATTTAGTCCAACTCCCCAACCAAAGCAGGGGAGCAGAGCACATCACTCAGGATGGCATCCAGACGGGTCTTGAAGATCTCCAGAGAAGGGGACTCCACACCCTGGGCAGCCTGTCCCAGGGCTCTGCCACCCTCACCCTAAAGAAGTTCTTCCTCATATTGGAATGGAACTTCCCATGGTCCAGCTTGTGCCCGTTGCCCCTCGTCCTGTCACTGGGAACCACTGAAAACAATCTGTCTCCATCCTCCTTCAACCCACCCTTTAGGTACTTGTAAACATAGATGAAGTCTCCCCTCAGCCTTCTCTTCTCCAGGCTAAAGAGCCCCAGCTCTCTCAGCCTTTCCTCATAAGGGAGACGCTCCAATCCCTCCATCATCTTTGTTGCCCTACACTGGACTCTCCCCAGTAGTTCCCTGTCTCTCTTGAACTGGGGAGCTTGGAACTGGACGCAGGATTCCAGTTGTGGCCTCCCCAGTGCAGAGAATGACCTCCCTCCACCTCCTGGCCACACTCTTCCCTACACAGCCCAGGATTTCACTGGCCCACTTGGCCACACTGCTGGCTCATGGAGAGTTTGCCATCTACTCCCAGATCCTCCTCCTCAGTAGTGCATTCCAGAAGATCCACCCCTAATCTATAGGTTCTTCCTCCCCACCCTTATGCCAGCCACACTCACCTTTCTGGCCATGAGGCTCACGGGCTGCGTCAGGGTCCTTGGGCTGCTCTCCCAGCTCCTCGGGGGCTGTGACGCCGTTCACCATCTTCTGCTGCACGGAGGGGGGTGGTGTCGGGGGCAGCGAGGAGGGTGGCGTGGGCGGGTTGCTGAGGTTGTTCTGGGGGAAGACAGTGGAGTGATGAAAGTGGGGTTGGCCAGGACCTCCGGAGCGTGGAGGACACACACACACTGGGGAACAAGCCCTCCTCACCTTAGTGAGCAGCTGGGAGTAGTAGTCGGGGATGCTGTCAAGCACAGCGCTGCCGAACGCGCCCCGCAGCTGGCTCTTCCCATTGATGGGGCTGCTGCCGAAGGGCGCAAAGAGGCTGAAGTTGGCTGTGATGGTGGGTTCCGCCAGCGGCAGCAGCGACAGCTCCTGTGGGCAGAGCGGTGAGGAGGGGACGTGGGGCGGCAGGCAGCCCCCCACTGTGCCCTCTGGCCCAGGGCCATACCTGTTTCAGCTGTTTCATGAGGGCCTCGCCAGGACGCACCCCCTCGTCCTTCCGCAGCTTCTTGCGGGATGCTGGGACCCGCTCGTTGCCTTTCTGCACCCGCTTGGGCTTGGTAGCTGCTGGCTTCCTGGCAATGGAGGGGTCCTACAGAAGGGGAGGAAAGCGAGAGCGGTGCTGAGCGTAGCCCAGGAGCAATTGCCCCCCATCCTGCCCCACAGCCCCTCGCTCACCTCCCGGCCCAACAGCACTGGCTGCAGCCGCGGCTCCACGCCAGCGCCCCGGCTCTCTGTGTGCCCATTGAGCTCGCCCGGGCTCTGCGCCGAGAGCTGCACGTTCTTGGCTCGCAGCAGCTTCTGCAGCAGGAGGTGCCCAGCCTCAGAGCGGCCGCCTGGTACCAGCAGGCTGTTGGCTTGGCCCGTCCTAGAGTCCTCGTTGGCCTCCGGCTTTGCCGCCTCGTCCCCATCCAGCTCACACTGCGCTGCTGCCACCGCCACCTCCTCCTTCGGCTCCTGCTTCACCAACACCTCGGGGGCCTCCCTGGTCACAGGGGCTCCCTCCAGCACAGCCCCATTGATGTGGGTCTCCCCAGGGTCAGCTGGGTCTGCACCGGGTGCCTCAGGGGCCCAGGGGCCGTGCACTGGGTCGGGGAGCGTGCTGCTCGGCGTGGGCGTCAGCCCCTGCTCCGCTGGCACTGCAGGGCTGGGGGCCGACGCCGGGACCCCCGGCGACATCTTCTTTGGCTCTTGGGGGCTCTGCTCAGGGCTAGCCAGGTGCTGGGGTGCACAGCCCAGGGGTGAGGGGGCCAGAGGTGCAGGGAGCCGGACGAGGCCGGGCTGGGGTCCACGGGCAGCCAGGGCTGCCTGCACCAGGTCAGCCAGGGGCTGCTGGGGTTGGTGCTGCCCTGCCAGCGCCCGTCCCTGCTCGGCAGCAAAGCTGCTCTGCGCCTCCGCTGGGGCACCCGGCCGCGGCTGGAAGAGGGGCCCGAGCGGGCGAGGGGGCTGACGGGCGGCCGGGGAGCCATGGTCTGGGGCCTGCCCGGGGAAGGGGCCGGGGGGACGGAGCGCCTGGCTCTGCTGCAGCAAGCTCTGCTGGTGCCGCTGCACCAGGAGGGCCTGGAGCTGCTGCTGCTGCTGCGGGGTCAGGTGCCGCAGCTGGGGGTTCTTGGCCAGGACACCCTGGAGCTGTGCCCGGATCTGGCCCATCACCGGCCCTGGCACCTGCCCCAGGAGCCCCGGGGGAAGCGCAGCCATGCCCGCCGATGGCACCGCTGGCCCTGCTTTGTGCTGCCCGGGGCTCTGGAGCCGAGGGGGCTGGGGCTGGCCCTGCAGGGAGCCCAACGGGCCCTTGCCTGGCTGCTCCGAGGGCCGTGGGACCTGCGGCATCGCCATGCCCTGCGCCTGGCCTGTCCCGCAGCCCAAGGGTGGCTCTGCCATCGCAGCACCGTCGCCATGCTGCTGGGACAGCTCGGGGCGAGCGGCCCCGGGGCTCTGCAGTGGCGGGGCGAGCAGGGGGCCCGGCTGCATGGGGGCTGCCCGCAGCGCCGGCTGCGAGCCCAGGACACCTGGCTGGGGGGAGGCCAAGAGAAGCTGCTGGCCCTGCCCCAGCTCAGCCTGGTGCTTGGGGCCTGGGGGCTCTGGGCCACCGAGGCTGGGGGGATTGAGGGCTCCCTGCTGTTCCTGGGGGGCTCCATGCAGCTGCCCCCCACTCTCGCCGCCCTCAGCTGGCAGGGTGCTGCTGTCTGCTCCTCCAGGCTGGTCCTTGGCAGCCAGAACAGCTGGGGCCGGTTGCATTCCCTGACTCAGGTGCAGCACGGAGGGGGCCTGGCCCACTGCCCCATGCTGTGGAAAGTGCTGGATCGGGGGCTGCCCCTGGCCCAGCCCCAGGAGCCCCGGCTGGGCAGCTGCTGAGTTCTGCTGCTGCTGTGGGGCCAGTGGCGCCCGCGACTGCCCCATCTGCTGGGACAGCACAAGGCGGTGGCCCAGCATCCCCGGAGTTTGTGGCGCCAGTTGGGACGAGCCCAGCATCCGCTGCTGGTGGGGGGCCAGGAGGACCTGGCGCTGGGGTGGAGGGTGGCCCAGCACTGCCTGGTGCTGCAGCCCTGGTGCCTGTGTGTGGCCCAGCAAACCTGGCTGCTGCTGGGGCGAGAGCTGCTGCACCAGGAGGCTCTGCTGGCTGCCCATCAGCCCCTGCTGCTTCGGCACCATGGGCTGCCCCACGGCACCTGGCTGTGGGGCTGGCGCTGTCTGCTGCTGCCCGAGCTGGCTGGGCTGCCCCATCACGCCCGGCGGCTGCATCGAGCTTTGTCCCATCACGCCCAATGGCTGCATAGAGCTTTGTCCCATCACACCCGGCTGCTGGATGGAGCTTTGTCCCATCACGCCTGGCGGCTGCATTGATGTCTGTGCCATCACACCCGGTTGCTGCATGGAGGCCTGTCCCATCACACCTGGTGGCTGCATGGAGGTCTGTCCCATCACGCCCGCTTGCTGCATAGAGGCCTGTCCCATCACTCCTGGCTGCTGCATGGAGGTCTGCCCCATCACTCCTGGCTGCTGCATGGATGTCTGTCCCATCACGCCTGGCTGCTGCATGGAGGTCTGTCCCATCACGCCCGGCTGCTGCTGCAGTGACACTTGTCCCAGCACGTTCTGCTGCTGCAGTTTCTGGGCCAGCTGCATCCTCTGGAGCTGCCTCTCCTGCATCAGGCGGCTGTCGGCAGCCAGCCCACGGAGCGCGGGGTTCCCAGTAAAGAAGGTGTTGGAGGTGCCGGGCACGGGCGCGCTCCCCATGGCTTGCTGGCCCATGAAGGACAGGCCCTGCTGCACGGCCATGGACACGCCGCCCTGGGGCAGGCGCAGCCCCCCGGGCTGTCCTGGCTGCTGGCCGAGGCCTTGGGCGCCCACCACAGCCCCTGCTGGCTGCTGGATGCCGTGTGCTGAGAGCAGCTGCCCGGAGAGCTTGGACATGAGACGGGGGCTCTGCGAGGGGCTCAGGGCCATGACGGCCGAGGCCTGATGCTGGTGCTGCTGCTGCTTGTTACGGTACTCGGCCATGAGGTTGGTGTGCTCCTTTTGCTGCTTCCGCACCTGCTCGGGACAGCAGGACATTAACACCAGGAATGGCACGGAATTAGTGCCACCAGGGGTGACATATTTGCGCCCAGGACAGAGCGCCCACCCGCCCACAGACCCCTACCTGATCCAGCTGCTTCTGGATCTTGCTCTGCTGCTCCGTCACCAGCTTCAGCTTCTCAGCGTCGGCCTCGGGGAACTCCCGCCCGGCTTTCTTGGCGGTGCGCTGCTTGGCGCAGAGGGCTTTGCGCGACTTGCGATGTGCCCCGATCTGCTCCTCCAGCACCTTCAGCTGCATCTGCAGGAGCTGCTGCGTGTGGAAGAGCCACTCCTCGTACTGCCGCTGGTCGGCCTCATCTGCAGGAACAAGGAAAGGGCTCGGTTCAGCAGGGACCCTGGCTCCGGATCCTGCTCAGCCCAGGCTGTGTGGGTAGGACGAGACCCGGCCAGCAACGCATTGGTACTCACTAATGACACCCTGTGCAAAGGTGGGTGGGTTGGGACGAGCCTGGGTTGGGTCGGTGCCGCTCCTCTCCTGGCAGAAAGGGGAGCATTGAGAACATGCACCACATCTCTTCCCCTCTGTGGTGCCCCCTGTCCCATCTTCACAGCCCCCACCTCCCCGGGGCACTATGAACCCACCAGCCAGAGCAACCCCTGCCCAGCAAGAACCCAAGCACCAAGGCAGACAGCCTCAAGGGGACCACTGTCCCTATGCCCAGACACCCCACTCACCTGCCCGCTCCCCGCCAGCAAGTGATTCTGCATCTCGGAGACAGCCGGCCCCCCCGAGAGCCGCTGGGCCAGCAGGGAAACCTGTTGCCTTTAGTGGGGGGACACGGAGAGACAAGAGGTGAGCTGGGGCCGAGATGCCCTGCCCACCCCAGGCCGTGCCCCACAACCCGGCGTGCCCCTTACCTGTTCATGCCCGGGGCCACCCCGATGCTGCCCTGAGCCATCACCTTCTTGATGCCCTTCAGTGCCACCATCTTGGCCTTGGCAATAGGGTCCATGATGTCCTCGGCCGCAAACTTGTCCAGGTCTGCCCAGAGAAAGTCAGCAGACAGTGCCACAGTGCATTCAGCCCTATGCCCCAGCACCCAAAAAGCCCCTGTGCCCCCCAAAAAACAACTGTCTGCGGCCCCTACCTGTATCCGGGAAGAAGCTGTTGGCCAACTGCTGCTGCATGACGAGCTGAGGGGGCTTCAAGCCCAGGGTGGGCGGCTGCACCCCGGGCACTGGCTTCTGCACCAGCACCTGCTGCTGGCTCTGCTGCGGCTGTGCCAGAGCCACCTGCATGCTGTGGGGGGCCCCCAGTACGTGGGGCTGCCCAGGGGGCATGCCCATGTGGGGGGCCAGCGCTGGGCCCTGCTGGGGTGTGCTGAGCCGGGGGGGCTGCGGTGGCATCAACGGTGGCCTGGCAACCAGCCCCAGCTGGAGGGGAGGCTGTGGGGTGCCCAGGCGGGGCGGCTGCCCTTCAGGGGGCTGCCCGGTCGCTGCTGAGTGCAGCATGGGGTGCCCCGAGACCGGGACGTGGGGAGGGGCCCGGGGCAGGTGGGCTGACATCTGCTGCTTCTTCTGCAGCTCCTTCTTCTCGTGCTCCAGCAGGTCCTCGATGAGCAGGGGCAGCTCGCTGGCTACCAGTGAGCTCTCCATCTTGTCCAGGTCATCGGCCGGCGATTGCTGGGCGCTGCCCAGGCCCAGGGCTCCACCATCCAGCTCAAACTTCTCCAGTAAGGGGTTGCTCTGGTTGCTCAGCTGGGCAGGGGCCAGCCCGCGGCTGGAGACGGCATAGGGGTCCTTCTCTGGCACGGGGACACTGGCATGACTACTGTTAGCGAAGTGAGTCAAGCTGAGGCGAGCAGGGCCAGCCCCGGGGCTCAGGAGGGTCTGACCAGATTTGAGGCCCAGCCCCAGCGAAGCAGAGATCTTATCCGTGCCCTGCAGGGCCTCCGACTTGACGGGCACCGGGAGCTGCTCGGAGCCACCGACAGTGAACTGGCAGGGAGAGGTCTTCAGGCAGCCGTCCTCTAGCTTGGGCTTGACATCAGTGGGCAGCGAGCCTGCCTTCGCCTCCATGCCCTGTGCCTTGAAAGCCGGGTCAGGCGCCAGTGCTGTGCCCGTCGGGCAGGAAGTGGGTCCCAAGCCCACCCCGGGCACCAGCCCTTCCTTGGGCACCTCCTGGTCCTCCACGGATGGGGCAGTGTCTTTGCCATCTCCAGCATCAGGGAGCTTCAAGCTGGACGCTGGCGGCTCCGTCTTGAGCTGGGCTTCACGCTCAGCTTTCTCGTTGGCTGACTCGACCAGGCGAAGGTGCTCGTTGAAAATGTCCTTCTTGTCCCCGGTGTCCAGCTCAGGGTCAGTGTAGGCCAGCAGGTCGAACTCATCGCCATTCAGCAGGTCATCGAGGTGAGGGTCTGCTGTCTCCAGACTGTCCAGGTTGTCCAAGTCATCATCCCCTTTAGCCACGTCTGGATCCAGGCTCAGGTTAGCCAAATCATCATCATCTTCCAGGTCTTTGTGGGAGCCAAAATCGTCATCCAAATCAGGCTCCACTGGCACCTCACAGGGCAGACGTCCCCCCTCGAGGCTCAGGTGGCTCTTCCCCAGGGTGGGAGCTGGCGCGGGATCGGGTGCGGGGCTGTCCTTGGGTCCCTCAGGGCGGAGAGCGGAGCCAGAGGACAGCGGGCGTGGGGAAACGTGCTGCAGCTCCAGGCTGGGGGCCGGCAGCGGCAGGGGGGCAGCCGCTTTGGTGTGGGGCTGGTGGTGGCTGTTGCTCATCTCGACACCCTGTGGGGACGCAGGCGGCAGCGGCATCTTTGTGGGCTGCAGCGCCGGGGTGGGCAGCGCCTGCATGGGCACCACAGGGGTGCAGAGAGCCTGGGGGTTGCCCTCCTCCCCAGGCAGGTAAAAGCGGGGCCGAGGTGCCTGGGGGGCGAAGGGGGAGCCCATGACCCCTCCAGATCCCTTCTGCACGTTGTGCCGCAGCTCGATGAAGGGGGCGCCCAGGGCGTTGGGGGAGGCGGGCACGGCCTCAGTGGGTGCCAGCAGGCGGGTGCCCAGGCCGCCCACGGGGGAGCCAGCAGCCGGTGGGGCGAAGCGGGAGGCGACGGGGAGCCGCAGGGCCGAGGCTGCCTGCTGCTGCTGCCAGAGGTGCTGCTGCTGCTGCTGCTGCTGCTGCAGGGATGGTGCCGAGAAGACCCCACGGGGGTAGAAGGCCTGGGGAGGGCCCACCACCGTCCTGCAAGACAGCAGGGTGTCAGGACCGGATTGGTGCTGCCGCAACCATGACACACCACATGCAGCACCCCAGGGGTCCCAACCCCCTCGGATCACGCCAGAAACCCCGCAAAACCACAGGCACCCCATCCCCCCGGGTGATCACACGCAAGACCTGTGGGGGGATCCCATCCTGCTCAATTCTAACCAGCTGCAGCAAACCCCTTGCCCCGCTGCTGGGCACTCACCTCCCGTTGATGTCCAGGGTGGACGGTGTGGCTGCTGGCGGGGGCCGGGAGAGCCGCTCATCCTGAGTGAATGCTCCCTGCACCATGACAGAGCCAGGCAGCTTCCCGGTGCTGGTGGCAGTGGTCAGTGTCCCGAGGACATTCTTGTCCTGGAAAAGCAGAGAAAGACACATCATCACCCTGTCGGTCCACCCCCAGCCTCCCAGCAAAACTCACCCCAGAGCCCTCCTACCTGTGCTTGCTGGTAGGGGGCCATGCCCCGGCCCAACTCGAAGGCCTGGTTGGTGGCCTCTGGGGCCCAGCCAGCTGGCGAGGAGGTGGCGGCGGCCGCTGCGCTCTCCTTCTCCTGCCGCAGGCTGTTGCGTTGGATCTGCTGGCGGATGAGCAGCTCGCGAAGCCGCTGCCGCTGGGAGGAACCGAGCATTAGGACAAAGAGTGGAGACACGGCAGCGAAACCAGCTTGTCCCGGGACCCAGGGACAAACTACACACGGAGACCACTTTGGATGTGCCAGTCGATGCCCCCAACCCCAGGTGTCCATGTCCCCACTGTGCCCCTGGGGAAGGAGCCACAAGCAGAGCCGGTCTCCTTGACCCCACCAGTGACCACAGAAGTCCTGGTTCCTCCCTTGAAGCTGGACAGACACAGCCCAACCACTGGCGAACCCTCACCTGCCGTTGCTTCTCCAGCTCTGACTGGCTCATGGTGCCAAGGGTCCCGTCCTGGCTGCTGGGCAGCTCTGCCAGGTCCCGGTTTGGGGGTGCCGAGAGTCCTGCAGCCACCTCCTCCCTCTTGTCGGCTGGTGGCCCCAGCGTGGCTCGAGGCAGGAAGGTGAGAGAGACGTCCTGCTGCTGTGGGGCAGCAGGCGGCTGCTGCGGCAGCACGGAGGGCGGCCGGAGGGGCGAGAGGCTGTAGGTCTCAGCAGCCGCAGCACCCGGCCCCAGCGGGCTGCTGGCTTGGTGGAAACCAGGGGATGAGGCGTAGGCTGAATTCTGGGGCTTGCCGGGGATGTAATGGCTGTTGATCCCATGGGGTTGGTGGGATGGTGAGCCCTTGAGCGGCTCAGAGACGGTTGGGGGGAAGGTGAAGCGCATGGGGGGCTGGCTGCCTGGGAAGACACTGGCACCAGGGGAGCGGGAAAAGGGGGGTTGCTGCCCCCCCAGTGCCTTGCTGTGGGGCTCACCCACCGGAGTGCCCCCAAAGCCCCCACCGGCCGCCGGGCTGTGCGAGAGCGGCACCGACTTGAACCCTGGCTCTGGCATCTGGGGCCGGGGGGGCTTGTGCAGGGGGGTGAAGGGGTCCCGGGACTGGGGCCGGGAGGGCGGCTGGGAGTAGGGGTCCGGGGACTGGAAGCGGGGGGTGACAGGGGACTGGCAAAAAGCTTCATTGGAGAGCGGCCGCGGGGTGAGGGGGGACTGGGAGCTGGACTGGGACTGGGGGCTGGCGGGGATGCGGTGGCTGGGGGGCGAGGGGGCCAGGGAATGCGGGTCGGGGGGCCGATGCCCCAGCCCCGGGCTCTGTGGCTCTACCTGAGAGACCCGTGGGGTCATGGGGGCTTTGAAGACATCAGCTGCCTTCAATTCCGCAGCAGAGAGTTGGGGGCCACCTGGGGAGTCCCCATAGCCCATGGTAGGGGCATAGCCAGGCGAGCAGACCCCCAAGTTCCCCCCTTCCTCTTTCTTCACCTCCAAGCCCTTCTTCTGCTCCCCAAAAGGCAGGGGAGAGAGCAGAGCCTCGGCAGGCCGGGCCCCAGGGCTCCCTGGCACCGAGAGATTGTCTATGGAGGGACAGCGGGGCTTCAAGAAAGGGTCAGGGGTGCCGGGCTGGTGCCGGGGGGTGCCAGGTGGTGTGGGGTGGAAGTCAGGGGGTTGAGAGCCGGGGATAGCACGGGGTGCGGTGAGGGGCTGGGGCTGGCCAGGGAAGGGCTGGAAGGCAGCACCTGCCGTGGGGCTCTGACCCAGGGGCGAGGGGAAGCGGGGCTCCAGCGCGAAGGCGGGTGCTGCACCGTAGGGATCGTGCGAAGGCACTTGGGCAGGGGACTGGGGCGGGAGCTTGAGAAAGAGATCGCTGGGTGACTCCGGACCCCCTCCGGCACCTGTGGGGGGCTTCAGGAAGCCCTCGCCGGCAGCGGGTGGGCTGCCAATGTAGACAGGCTGTGCCCCTGGTGGCACCGGGATCCGCAGGTGCAGCGAGGGCCTCTCCGGCTTGCGCAGTCCCTCCCCTTTGGTCTGCTTGTTGATCTGGCTCTCGGCCTGCTGCAGAGAGAGCCCGGCCATCAGGGGACCCATGCCTACCCGCCTAATGAGCTGGGGAAGGGGCTAAGGAGGCAGGGGCTGGGCCCACCACATCCCCCAGGGCTGGGCCAGGGCCGCTGGGCACCTCCCAGTGCCAGCACATACCTTTTGCACCTTGTTGATGCGATGAGCCGCCCGGTTATCTTTGGCCTTTTGCTAACAAAAACACGAAGCCAGCTGACTTACAGCCCCCGGTGCCCAGGCCCCCCGCCCCAGCAACGCCCCGGCACTCACCAAATACGGGGCTTTGTCTGTGGCAGGGACCTTCCTCCAGAGCTTCATGATCTGCTTGCAGCGGCTTGACCAGTCTGGGAGTCCAGCAGCAGCAGAGGAAGAGGAGGAAAGCAACATTAGTCCAATCCTGATGAGCCAACCCAGGCCCTTGACAGGTGACCATCCCCTTTACACATGGGCATGGCCCAAAGCCCAGGAGCTGGCACCAAGACCCCCCACCATCACTACAAAGAGCACATCAGTGCAGCAGCCAAGCCCTCTGCCAGAGCAGACAGAACTTCCGCTCCCAGAGCCTTACCTGGATAATCCTGCTTGAGGTTGGGGAAGTTCATGTTGGCGTAGAGGACGGGCGAGATGGTGGAGAGCTCACCCAGCTCCTCATCCTTCTCCCAGCGCTGCAGGCTGCGCTGGTTGTAGGACAGCCCGTCACCCTCGCCCTCCGTTGTGGGTGTTGTGGGTGTCGAGGGGGTGGTGGCAGCTGAGCTGCTGGCCCAGGGGCTCTCGGGCTCACAGTGGTCTGGGCTGAAAAAGCCACTCCGCTCTCTGCGTGAGGGAGAGCGTGTCATAGACCAGGAGAGCGTAAGGAAAGAGGGGGTTCCTATAACACCCCAAGGTTGACTCTCTCTAGGGAGACCAACTCCAGCTCCCCCAGCTGCCTGCGTACCTGTTATCGAGGAACGGCGACTGGCAAACTCCCGAATATGACTCCAAGGAGATGGATCCGGAGAGCGAGCCCAGGGAAACGCTCCCTGTGCAGGAAGAGAGAGGTGTTGCAGGGAGGGCAGAGCTGAGGCTCAAACCTGTGCCTGCCCCAGGGGCCCAGCAGCCCTCCAACAACACAAGATCCTCCTGTACACCCCCAAAAATGCTTTCAACGTTCTTCACTACAGCAACGGGGAAGACCTGCACTGCAGTGTTCAAACAGCTCAGCTGCAACAGACACACAGCATGCCGCCTTTCCCAGGGATGACAACAAGTCCTGCCCTTCGCCCCCACCCACCAGGACCCCCCTGATCCCCACGGTTTGACTGGGAGCCCTGGCGCCTCGACCCACCCTGCCCTGGCAGCTGGAGGTCTCCCTGCAGGAATGGCCGCTGCGCCCGGCTGGGGTCCTGCCCTGCACCTTCGGCCTCCATCCCTGCGGCCACACAGTTGAGGGGCTGCTCCCCGCGCTCTGCCGAGCCCAGCACGTCCTTGAAGAGCTGCTGCACGTCTTTGCTCTCCATTTTAGGCAGCTCTGCGGGGCAGGGAGTGGGGAAGGGAAGGAAGAGCTGAACCACCGCAGGCAGCACATAGTGCAAATCTCCCGCTAACAGAAAAACGGGGAGAAATCTGGGGGTCCCAGCTGGGGGGAGGGGAAGGGGGAGGCCCTCACCTTCCGTGGGGATCTTGTCGAGGTCGGAGCTCAGTGCACCCTCGCCCGGGGTGGCCGGTTTCTCAGCATCTCCGGGGTCAGGGGAATCTTTTGGCTCCTCGGCCCCTGCGAAGAGGAACTGGTAAGTGCCCTCATCACCGCGGGACCCCCAGCCCGGGGTGGGACCCCCCAGACCTCCAGCCCCGCCGCACCACGCGGGGGCGCTGCGGGTGACACTCTACGGTCACCAGCGCCGGAGAGACCATAGAGTTCCCCCCGCTTCCCGCCCTGCCTAGAGCGCACTCATTAACCATAGAGCGCTTCCGTCTCTATGGTCGCAGGCGCTCTAGGCCGCCTCTCGGAGGACTTTGTCCATCCCGCACAACCCGCCGATACGGACGAAGGGGGGTCCGCGGGGGTCCCCGGGGCTCACCCAGCTCCTCGGCCTTCGCCTCGTCCTTGCCGTCGTCCTCAGGAGCGGCGGCGCTGCCGTCGGTGCTGTCATCCCCTGTGGGACACCCAGGCCTCAGCGCGGCCTGGCCTCCCGGGGCCGGGGGGCGGCCCAGTGACCCTCCGCCGGCCCCCCCCGGGACCATCCCGCAGCCCTAGGAGTCAACGGCTACCCCAGCACCCCGCGGCATCCTCCCACAGCCCCCCGTGTCCACGGCAACCCCTCAGTTATCCCCATGGCCCCTCTTTTCTCAGGGGCAGTGTCTGGGGTCCCAGCCCCACTCACCTCGGGGATGGGTGGGCGTCTCCCTCCTGTCATGGGGGGGGCCCTGCAGAGCCCCAGCCAGGCTGGGGTCCCCCTTGGGTCGTGGGGCGCCCTGGCCCAGGGAAGGGCGGGCAGCTCCGTCCCCCACACCACCCGCCGCCAGCAGCGCCTTCCGGCTCAGGTCCATCAGTGCCTTCCCAAAAAACGCCTCCTGCCCGAGGACGAGCTGCCATCAGCACCGCCGCGTCCCTCGGGGTATCCCCCCGGCCACCCCCACCTCCGTCCAACCCCCAGAGCCACCTTCACCCCACCGGGGCAAACTCTGACCACCTCCATCCACCCCTCAGGGGCCACCTCCACATCCCGGGTCATCTGCACCTCCCCCCCCCAGGGCCACCTCCACACTTCCCCCTTTTCACCCCCCAGGCCACCTCCACGCACCCCCCCACCCTGAGGCTCATCTGCACCACCCCCCACAAGCCACCTTCATTCCACCCCAGGGCCACCGCCATTTCACCTGCAGGTAAGGGGGGAACATATCCTCCAACTTGCTCTTCTTCCTTCCCCGGCGCTTCTTCTTCTCGTCTCCCTCCGCTGAGCCCAGATCTAGGCTGCCCTCGGCCGGGAGGTCCCCTGGAGCCCCTGCAATAGCCATCCTGTTAAAGCCTCCTCCCCCAAAGGAATTTGGGGCTGTTCTCGTGCCACAGGATGGGCTTGGGTACAGCACCATGGGACACACGCCACAGTCCCTTCTCCATCCCCAGGGGACAAGCGGGCAGGGGGCCAGGGAAGGGAACGGCTGCCACTGGGCCCTACCGTCCTCGGGGTGCCCCTCAGCGCTCAGCCCCTCTCGTCCCCCTTCAGCCAGCGCCGCCGAGACCTTCTTCAGGCGCGTGTGGGACTTGCGCTGCCGCACCATGAAGCCGCCAATGCCTGGTGAGCAGCGGAAGAGGAGGTGGGGGGTCACAGTGGGGCCTGGGCAGCACTCACCCTGGGGGGGTGGCCCAGGGCAGCACTCACCCTGGGGGGGTGGCCCAGGGCAGCACTCACCGGGCCGGTACGGTTTGCGCTTCCTCTTCTTGCACTCCTCCAGGTCCTCCAGCCCCTTCCCTGAGTCCACGTCAGCTCCCATGTCACGGTCAGGGCTGACTGGAGCCTCCAGCTTGATCTCACACTCCATGTGCTCCACACCCACTGCTGGGAGGACACGCGTTAGTGGGGTCCCCTTCTCAGCCCCACACTGCACCCCTCCAGCTCACCCGCCAGGGAAACGCACCTTCAGCTTTGAGCAGCTCATCGGCATCCAGGTCACCGTCCTTCTTGTCGTCGGGGCCCAGGGGTTCGCCCCCCTCCAGCCCCCCATCCCCGTTCAGGGTCCCCAGCCGGCCCTTGCGCTGCCGCCGCTTGTGCAGGGGTGACAGGGAAAGGTTGCGCAGCACTGCCATCCCCGTCTCCGTCAGCCACACGCCCTCGAAGCGGAAATACTGGGGCTCTAGAGGGACAAAAACCAGCGTTGGGGAAAAAAGCACGGCTGGCGGCACCGACCCCAGCACCCATCTCAGCACCACGTGTACCTGGCTCCTTGGCCTTGACTGAGGCGATTTCTGGGGGAGGCGCAGGCACTGCAGAGGGAAAAGTAGATAGGGAGGTGAGTCCCCAGGTCCCCTAAGTGCCCCCCACACCCCATGGAGCCCTGGGTGCTCACCGGCCACCTTGACCACGTAGGGCTGGCAGGCGCTGCAGTCAAAGCCTTCATCCGCAGCCTGCTCCACCTCCTCCTCCGTGAAGAGGCTGTTGCACGCCGCGTGTAGCCACCTGCGGGCAGCGGGGACCCGTCACGCACCCTGGCCGCCCCACGGCCATTCCCCAAGTGCGAAGAATTGGGAAAACTCGCTTTAGGAACCCTGGGGGGCCACAGTGCTCACCGATCGCAGTGCCGGCACTGGATGAGCAGATCGTCCTCCACGTACTTCTCGCGGCAGAAGGGGCAGACGACCAGACTGGCGCAGGGCGCGCAGTGCGTGTAGTTGTTCTGCCACTCGCAATGGAAGCCGGGGGAGGCCGCCCCGCACTGCACGCAGCACACACACCTTTGTGGGGGGGGAAGGGGGAAAACAAGGGGTCAGCACCAGCCCCGAGCCCTGCTCCCAGGCTCCCCTCGCGCCCCCCATGCACCATTTGCACTTCCAGCCACCCTTGGGCACGGTCTGCAGGGGGGGGTCCAGGCAGTAGGTGTGGTAGCTGATGTCGCAGTCGTCGCAGAGCAGGAGCCGGGAGGGGTCGGAGGCTTTACCACAGACCTCGCAGACAATGCACTCGACGCAGCGCCAGCCCTTCAGCAGCATCACCTTCGTGATCTGGGGACAAGGAGGGGCACCCACATGAGCCTTAGGCAGAGCCGTTGGGGTCCCCGGGCTTGGCATGGCCATAGGGGAGATCCCAGAGCACGGCACAACCTGGTGCGCGTGCCCCACGGGACATGGCCTGGCTCTGTGGGTCCCCGAGGGGCACGGCTCTGCACTGTCCGCCCGGCGTGGGGCCAGGGATCCCGGTTACCCTCACCTTGCTGTTGACACAGTAGGGGTGGTAGCACTGGGAGCACTGGGAGCAGGCAAGGAGGTGGCCCTCAGCCCCACGCCCGAAGCTGCCGCACACCACGCACATGTCCTGGGGGAGAGAGGCCGTGAGAGGAGCTGGTATGGGGCAGGAGTCGGGGGGAGACACACAAGTCTGTCCTGTCCATCTGTCTGTCCCGCAGCACCCCAGTTACCTGCATAAGGACAAACTTGTCGGTGTTAGAGAAGAGGACAACCGTATTCTGCATGGTGTCATCGTCATCCTCGTCCTCCTCCTTGCTGGGTGAGCTCTCCACGTCGGCAAGCTGGGGGTAGAAGAAGGGGCTCAGCACTGAGGACCCTCACTCTCAGTGCAGTCTGGGGGGGGCATCAGCCACAGCCTGGTGCTGAACCAGGAACATGCAGGGGCAGCAGACCCCTGCTCGCCAGCCCCTCCCTGGGGGGCAGCTCCATACCAGCCATATGCTTGTGGGGTGAAACCCCTAGAAGCACAGCACAGCCCCAGGCAGTCTCCTCCCCTTGGGACCTCCCACCCACCCCACCCCAAGGGCTCCTGAGCCTTTCCCAGGGATCAGGATGCTGGGGAAGGGGATGGGGGGGACAGGGACATGGCTCTCACGGTGGCCCTGCCACCTAACAGCTTGGGGAACCCCTGGCCCCCCACCTCTACCCCAGCCCAGCCTTACTGCTAGGGTGTCAACGGACGAGGTGGTCGACTTCAGGCGCGCACGGCCCCGGCCCCGGCCCCCGTGGGACCCACCTCGGGGGCGCCTCCGCCCAGGGAAGCTGCTGCTGCGACCCTAGGGCCAAGGGGAGAGGGCAGTTACAGCACCCCGGGGTGGGGGGACCAGCTGGACCCCCGCCATGCATCCTGGCCGGGGCAGGGACAGCGGAGGGGCACAGCCCCCATCCCACCCCCAGCCCTCTCCTACTTGCCACAGGGGCAGCCCAGGGAAGGGGACACAGCCCTGGCAGGGCTGTGAGGGTGGTAGGTCCCCCCAAAATCGGGACTGACAGGGTCCCCCCCAATACCTGCTTGACACGGGAGCGCCCTGGGGAGCTGCGCCGACGGCTCTTGTCCCCGTCCCCCTTGGCAGCTGGCTCGAAGAGCAGCGAGTCATCCGTCTCGGCGCCCAGTGGCAGGGACCCAGCATCCTCCTTCTGCAAGCTGGCATCAGCTGAGGCTGGCCCCAGCTCGAGGGATAGTGACCCCCCACCTTCGGGGTCCGGGGAGCCCAGCAGCGGCTCCGAACCCGGGAAGCTGCTGCTGGTGTCCCCCTGGCTCAGGTTGGAGATCTCGTTGAGGATGTCGGGCTGGGGGCGCAGGACAGGGGCCTCAGGGCCCCCCTCATCTCCTTGCCCCAGCAGCTTCTCCCCAGCGGCACAAACCTCCATGGGGGTCTCAGGGCCCAGCTCCTCTGGCTCCAGGAGCAATGGGGATCCCTTGGCTTCAGGGTTGCCCCCACCCCGACCTTCCTCCAGCGCATCCTCCTCACTCAGCAGCAGGGAGCTCCCACTGGTGCCCTCCCGCTCCAGCCTTGGTGCCTCTTCCTCCTCCTCTTCCTCCTCCTCAGGCAGGCCTGGGAAGGGCCCCAGCTCTGGGGCAGGGCTGGCTTGGGGGCCATCTCCAGGGGGGCTGGCTGGTGACCCCCCCTCACCACCAGCTGTCTCCATCTCCTCATCCTCAGGGGGCTCAGTGGGGGCTGGGGTGCAAGCAGGGGAGCCCAGGGGGGGTGGCAGGGAGCTGGGGGGCTCAGTGTCCATGGCAATGCCGGGGCTGCTGGGGCACTCGGGCAGAGCTGGGGTGGGCAGCTCAGGCACCTCATCCTCCTCGGCGTCAGGCAAGGGGGCTGGGGGGCGGGCAGGTGAGACGGCATGGAGATCTGGGGGGTGTGGAGAGGAGAGGATGGTGACACCACAGCCCCCAGAAGAGACAATCCCTGCCCCCAGCACATTCCTGAGGCCTACCTGGGGGAGCCGGGGGTGGGGGTGCCGTCTCAGGGGGGAGCAAAGGCTCCGGCTCCATCTCCATCTCCTCCTCAGGGGGTACCTCCGGGGCTAGAGCTGGTGCTTCCTCTGCCACAGTCACCTCGGGGAGGAGGCCTGCAGGATGGGGCCACGGGTGAGGGGGGCACAGGAGTCTCCTCCACCCCCTGTGCCACCGAGCCTGGGGCTGAGAGGCAACAAGCATCGCCGCAGCCTGGCTCGGGGACACCCCCCCCAGCTCCCAATGTACCCCCCAAACGGGGCACTGAAGCATGAAGTCAGGGTCAACAGGTTGAGGGTGACACAAGACCTCTGCTGGGAAGGGATCCAGGTGTGACATCCCTGCACTCATAGGAGACAACTAGAAAGGAAAGGGGACAGACCTAGATGCCCTCCGTTGATTACCTGGTGGCTTGGGGTCCTCCTCAGAGAGTGGCTCACTGGGAAGTGGCTCTTTGGGGTGCAGCTCATCAGGGGAAGGTTCTTCAGGGGGCAGCTCATCTGGGGGCAGTTTTTCAGGGGGCAGCTCGTCTGGGGCTGGTTCTT